GTGATCCCATTGCCACATCCCCTGCAGATTTTGGGGCCAAAACCCGGGATTTTGGCACTATTTGGCCATCCCACAATCCTGGTGATCCCATTGCCACATCCCTGCGGATTTTGAGGCCAAAACCCGGGATTTTGTGACCCTTTGGCCATCCCATAGTCCTGGTGATCCCATTGCCATGTGCCCATCATCCCTGCAGATTTTGGGGCCAAAACCCGGGATTTTGGGATCCTTTGGCCGCCCCACAGCACTGACAAGGCTTTGGTGATCCCATTGCCACATGCCCATCATCCCTGCAGATTTTGGGGCCAAAACCAGGGATTTTGACACTATTTGGCCATCCCACAATTCTAGTGATCCCATTGCCACATCCCTGCAGATTTTGGGGCCAAAACCAGGGATTTTGACACTATTTGGCCATCCCACAATTCTAGTGATCCCATTACCACATCCCCTGCAGGTTTTGAGGCCAAAACCCGGGATTTTGTGACCCTTTGACCATCCCATCGTCCTGGTGATCCCATTGCCACGTGCCCATCATCTTTGCAGATTTTGGGGCCAAAACCCGGGATTTTGGCACTATTTGGGCATCCCACAATTCTAGTGATCCCATTGCCACATCCCTGCAGATTTTGGGTTCAAAACCAGGGATTTTGGCACCCTTTGGCCATCCCCCAGCGCTGACACCCTCGGGCCTCATCCCGCGGGTCTCCCCGCACGGATTTTGGGGACGAGAAGGGGATTTTTGGTGGCCCAGAGCCGTCAGCAGCCCCTTCCCCCAGGACCTGCAGGCCCAGGACCGGGCCCACCGCATCGGGCAGCAGAACGAGGTGCGCGTGCTGCGGCTCTGCACCGTCAACAGCGTGGAGGAGAAGATCCTGGCGGCGGCCAAGTACAAGCTGAACGTGGACCAAAAAGTGATCCAGGCCGGGATGTTCGACCAGAAATCCTCCAGCCACGAGCGCCGCGCCTTAAAAAAAAACATCGGGGGGGACGAGGAGCAGGATGAGGTGAGATGCAGAGCAGGGAAAAAAAAACCGCGGGGGGGAATTTCGGGGGTCAGGAGCCAAGAGAGAAATGACCAAAAAAAAA